AACGGTATGTCGACGACACTTGGTATTCTGTCACTTCAGACGAAATCAAGGCCTATTATGCACTCTGTATATTAATGGGTCAAGTAAAGAAATCAAATATTCAACTTTATTGGACTAGAAGAGGTGTATTAGAAACGCCAATATTTAGGCAAACGATGCCTTTTAAAAGATTTCGACAAATTTCGAGATTTTTACATTTCTCCGATAATGAAACTGATAATAGTAAAGACCGACTTCGCAAGATAAGACCTGTAATTAATTTTTGGAATCAAAAATTTAAAGAAATTTACACACCGAGTGAATATGTTAGCATAGATGAATCCCTTATGAAATATAAGGGGCGTTTAGCGTACAAACAGTTCAATCCGTCAAAAAGAGCTCGGTTCGGAATAAAAATTTACAAATTGTGCGAGGCAAGTACCGGTTTCTGTCATCAATTTAAAATATATACCGGCCAGGACAAAATTGATCGAAACGATAGTGCGTCGGAGAACGTTACGATAGAGTTGTCAAAGTCTATAATTAACAAAGGATATACTTTATTCCTGGATAACTGGTACTCTTCACCCAACCTGTTTCTAAAATTACACCAGCGAAAGACAAACGTTATCGGGACCGTACGCAAGAACAGAAAAAATATGCCACAGGACTTGCAAAAGCATATTTTGAAGAAAGGAGAATTTATGTGGAGATCTTGCAATAATTTGATAGCTCTGCGATGGAAGGACAAGCGCGACGTTTATATGCTCTCCACAAAACACAAAACTATAGAGATGGTCGAGGAATCAAACAAACAATTACAGAAAGTAATGAAGCCAAAATGTATTGTAGAATATAATAAGGGTATGGGTGGAGTTGATCGTCAAGATCAGGCGTTAGCATGTTTCCCAATAATGAGAAAAGCCATGAAAGGATACCGAAAGCTGTTCTTCTACATATCAGATATGGCTCTGTTTAATACCTATATTATGCAGAAAACAATTTACAGTCGAAAACGGGAGACTTATGTTGATTACCGTGTAAATATAGCCGAGGCAATTTTACAAATTGTTAAATTACCGGACTACAAAATGCGTGGGAAATCATCAGTTGAAACACCCCTTCGACTCCAAGCTCGATATTGGGCTCATTTCCCCAAAAATATAGATCCGACACCTCGGAATAAGCATCCAACAAGGATGTGTAAAGTCTGCTATAAACAGAAAATTCGAAGCGCAACGAAGTGGGAATGCGCGAAATGTAAAGTGGCTTTACATCTGCCAAAATGTTTTGAGAAGTATCATACCATGGAGGATTTCTAGAATTGTACTTATTTCCTTTTTGGATATTCAGACAGTTTTATGATTAAATTCTTTTAAATAATATACCATTTACTTTTAGGTGTAGTATTATTATATTTCTCAGAGGACCAAACTATTATACATATCCTACAATATTATATACAAAATATAATAAATTTATAATATCATAAAAGTAAAAGCGTAAGAGTTTACTTCCTCAACAGCAGTATCGCGTAAAATTCACTATACCACAGGTATCGCGGGCATCTACATTTCGGTTCGTATTGCGACTGTTCACGAACATCAGTGTGGTCTGTTTAGCGCGCGTCGATGTGTACCGCTTGGGCCCGAGTTTCGTCGAGCTAAATGGCACGGGAAGGGGTTAAATAGTCTTTTGAAATCTATGCCCAAAAGAATGCAGGCAGTTATTGATTCTAGAGGTTATTCTACTAAATGTTAATTTATTCTTTTATTTTCATGAATAACATTCGTTTATATTATAATTTTTTCAAGATATAAGTTTTGTCCGAATACTTTTGTCAATCAAATTTTTGTTTATTGTTCAAAATATATATTTTATGTTACAATTTGCTAAATTATTAGTGTTCAATAAAACGCCTTTTGCTCGCTTAATTTGTGTTATCGTAATTGGACAACATTACACAATACTGTAGGTAATATTTTTTATTTGTTGTAATATAATAATAATAAAATAATTGTTAACCCAGGTTTGCATAATGTCAGGCACAAAAGAAACAAGAAAACAGTTAAAAAGAAAATTTATATCTCTTGAGGACAAAATCCAAATTTTAAATCGTTTAAAGGGTGGAGAAAAAATATCGTCTGTTGCAAAATCGATAAATTTGAATGAATCTACAATTCGAACCGTTAAGAAAAATGCGGAAAGGATAAGGAAAACTATCTAATCTCCCATCAATCTAATCCCCGAAGATATGACTATACCGATGCCGCTGCACGAATACTATAACTCTGTAGCCAACACTACTACGCCTCAGGGTGATACCGTTCGTGTAAATGTACCTGACATTGGAATACCACAGGGACCTATTCCAGCTACTACTGCTGATGGAGCCCGTGCTGCTGCTGCAAGAATACCATCTGGCAGCTTTGGTCGCATTACGAGTATGGACCATAATAAATATGAATGTTATGTGTCTCCGTTTGTGACCTCACGTTTAGTCGAAGAGACTAGATTGCAGAACGAGGATAAGAAATACACGGACTGGAACCCACTTCCCGACGGAGCTTTTCCCGTCGGCACTGTTCCGAATCAAAATTTATTGGGGTTCCGACCACGTGTGGAGCGCCTCAACCCGGAAGGCTTATAGGCTATTTCGGAGATTCATTTCCCAGATAGTGATGACATGTCTGGACGTTTGAGGTGGTGTCCCGAAATGGTTGGTAGAGTTTCTGGACATCTACAGAAGCTCTCAACCCGGTACAAAATGCGTATTGGCTGTCCGTTAGGTGCGAAACGTGTCACCCGCGCGCGAAACATTAATATGGTTAAAATGGAACAAGCATCGATGATCTGGTTGGAAGACTGTATGGCCAAAAAGATTCCAATGAGTGGAAATCTTATCAAGCAGAAAGCATTTAAAATCTACGAGCATTTAAGGAATATTGGACATTCTTCTGCAGGGCTAGAAGATCATTCATTTAGCGCAAGTAAAGGATGGTTTGAAAAATTTAAAAAAAGGTACTCATTGCACAATATTAAGTTTCAAGGAGAGCAGGCCTCAGCCGATGCAGAGGCTGCCGAAAATTATAAGCTGGAACTAGCTCGAATTATCAATGAAGGGGGGTATACGCCTGATCAGATTTTTAACGCCGATGAGACGGCATTATACTGGAAAAAACTACCAACTGGAACCTTCATTTCGAAAAATGAAAGGCGTGCTCCGGGATTTAAATCTTCAAAACAACGTATCACTCTTTGTTAAGGCGTATCCTGTAGCCGAATTTATGGCAGCGAGTCAAGTGGTCGCCGTCGCTTCAGCGCCATTCTTAGCAACAAGAGTACTCCGAAAAATAGGAGAGGCCCTTAGCGTGGGTGCACCGGTGGAAATATTGGAGTGGCTAGGGTTGGATCCGGCTCCGGGGGTGAGACCCGGGGCATGGGTTTGCATGGGATTTTATCGACTGATCATAGCCGATTAATATCATCATACAATGAATTCACAGGTTATCAGTGAAGTTCAGAAGGAAGTTACCGACGCAGGGGCGTCCGCGACTAGACAGTATAAGAGGTCAGCACCGACCGGAAAGAACTCACGTCAGAAAAGGACTGACGCATTTCGTGCAAAGAAGAACGAAGAGACCGATCGAGACATTACCGCTGGAATCTTTGCTCGTTTAAAGATCGTAGATCCCACTGCAGTCACTGCGGTTCAGATTCAAAGGGAACGCCACCCAACTGTTGTTCCAGTAAGTTTGCGCGGTCAGCAAGGATTGATTGCTCGCGCTTGGGACACGATGGAGGCCATTGGCACTAGGGCGTTTCAGGCATTGAACACCATGGAAAATCGGAGGATATTCCAAAAGGGTATGCTAATTATATCTGAAGCTAAAGTGGCTTATGCGCAACGCGCTCATATAGATAAGCCGGATGAGGACTTACCATCAAGGAAATATTATAACGCTGAAGAACTACGCGACATTAATAATATGGTTTCCTCGCTTCCATTGCCCCTCGCGATGTATCTTGAATGCATCGGGAATGTCAGACAGGGTGACAGAATTGTAACCCCTGTCCTCTGTGAACATGAGAATCCAATGCTCAGTGGTGTGTTGAGCTATGCTCCACGTCAGTTACTGCCACTGCTTAGAATCTTGCGGGCAGGAGTCCCCCAGGCCGGAGAAGTTTATCAATTAGCTAAAGAGCTAGATGAATTCCCCGGAATCGAGTGGGAAGAGTTCGTCCCCGCCGCTCAGCCGGCACAAGTAGATCAAGCTCCTCCCCCTCCAATTAGCAAAACCCCTGGGGTTTGACCTATCAGAGTCACCCTCTCTACGAAAGGATGGATGGATTAGTGTGGCGCGTGGATTATAGTGCGGGCGGGAAGTTAGCTCGCGAAATCGGGTACCTGGAGCCAGGGGGTGTTCCGCCTGCACCGGATAAGTGGGGTTGGGGGCTAATGATACGCGTTAAGGACTACCGCAGGGATGAAATGAAAACCTTGGTAATCCCGAGGGGTACTGCGAACGTGTTAACTGCACGTATGTTCTCGGATCACACGATCCTGTACAGGGGCTTCTCCGACTCGCCGGTAACTGGTGTACAACACTACATGGCGAGGGAAGTGGGATATGCGGCAGAGGATCTGGACCGTTTTACAAAGCCTTTAAACGTTGTGTCGAGGGGTGCGGCGCCCACGCCCTCCGTGAACGAACTGTCGGACCTGGATCTGGAGAGGGAGCTGGAGAGACGTCGGACTGCCCGGACGGCAGACAACCGGATAGGCTTCAACCTCAGCGATCCGGATGCCCCGAAGACGGACGGAAAGTTCGAGCCATCAACGGGGAGAAAGATGGGGAGGGACGGTGTCCCTCTAGCAGAGGAGGAGGGTGTACGACCAGAGGTATTGGAGGAGCACGGGAAGGCGGAGGATCAGCGCGAGCTGGAGGCGGGGAAGAGTGCACGTGCGAGTGGATAGACTGGGGCCCTGTGGCGCCGATCTACCCTGAATGGGTATGGTCTCCCGCCCTATATAGCCTCATTCGGAGGGAAAAAATGGAAGCATTGAGGGACGAGTTGGGAGTTGAAATGAACTGCGGTGTCGACTACGCAAGTCCTTGCCTTATAAAGGATAGGGTTCGCTCTCGAATAGCTCAAAAAACTTACATCTGCATTTTTACATGTTTCTCAACCAAGACCGTACATATAGAACTCGCCACTGACCTAAGTACAGACGGATTTCTCAATTGTTTTTACAGATTTATAGCTCGTAGGGGAAAATGCAAGTCCATTTATTCGGATAATGGCACAAACTTTGTAGGAGCGCGAAATAAATTCAACGAATTAGGATTGTTAATAAGCAATAGAGAACACAATGAAAGAGTAAAAGCAGTATTAGCCCAGGATCAAATAGAGTGGAATTTAAATCCACCACAAACACCGCACTTCGGAGGTCTATGGGAAAGTGCTGTAAAATCCACAAAGTATCACCTGAAACGGGTCATAAGTGAACAACAATTGACATTCGAGGAATTGTACACGGTATTAACGCAGGTCGAGGCATGTTTAACCCTTTGCACTCGTATGTCCACTCTCAGCCACCAAAGCCTTTTTACCGTTCCGCTCGTATGTCTGCTCTCAGCCACCACAGCAAGGAACTATACGAATCGTATACTGTATGCATTCATGTATCAGATTTCACTTTTCCTATACGAACCTCAATGCCTAAGGAACCTATTCACGAACTACTACAGTGCTCCATCGACTGGAGATAACGAAATCCAATGTAAACAAATGTTGTCACCCAGCGCTCGCCATGCAAGACGCAGCGGCGAGTCAGTCCTCTTTTGAACCTAATGAAATCGACAACGTTCGGCAATACCTCGTAGAGTTACAAAGAACGTTTTATAAATTGTATTTAACAGTTATTAGACATTCTTTCTTCTTAAAATATTCCAAAATAATTCTCCAAAATGGCAAAAAGGAAGTTACCGCAAGAAGTGTTCGGTGAAACTGACGATAACGATGAAGACTTTTATTTTGGCCTCCCGAATACTGATTCTGATAGAGAAAGTGATAACTATTGCAGTGACTCTGATAGTGACATAGTTCCCGTGGAGCGACCAGTAAGGGAGTTAACAATGTCCAGCGACAGTGAAACAGAAGAAAATGATGAAAATGAGAATAGTAATATAAACGAATTTACTACTTGGAGAGACGTTACGTACACAGATCAGCCACAATCAAAAACTAATTTTTCGACGGGATCGAAGACTGTTGGACCGAATGTACCCTTGAATTGCACGGAACCTATCGACTTTTTTAGACTCTTCTTCACAGACACACTGCTTGAAAAAATTGTATTAGAGACAAATAAATATGCCCAAAATAAAATAGAACAGCAGAGCTTATCAACTCGATCAACGTGGAATAAGTGGATCGATGTGACGAAGGAGGAGTTAACAGCTTTTTTGGGTGTAGTCCTGAACATGGGTACTATACCAGTTCCTAACATGCAATATTATTGGACTAAAGATCATATTGGAAACATACCATTTTTTAGAGATACGTTTCGGAGGGAAAGATTTTTCCAAATATTTTGGATGTTACATCTAAATGAAAACATTTCCACAAATAGAAACGTATCAACGAGAATCCAAAAAGTGAGCAACTTTCTGGATTATATTGGTGACAAGTTCCGGGCGTATTTTACACCGGATAGAGAAATATCCATCGATGAGTCTGTGGTGAAATTCAAGGGCAAAATCAGCTTCATTACATATAATCCCAAAAAGCCCACCAAATGGGGAATCCGGATTTATGTATTATCAGACTCCCATACAGGATACATATATGCTATGCTTCCCTACTATGGAAGCGTTACTACAGAGATTCTCATCCGTCCAGACCTCCCTGTCAGTTCAAGAATTGTTTTACAACTTTATCACACGCTGTTGACCGCAAATCCCGAGGCAAAGGGATACCACATCTTTACAGACAGATTTTTTACAGGGATCCCATTAGCGCAGGAACTACTAAAGCTAAATTGTTATTTAACTGGCACAATTAACACAAACAGGAAATATATACCAGCTATGATCAAAAAACCAGCTTTAACAAAAAATAATATTGTCGCTGCCTACCGATCAGGCGCTATTCTACTATTAGCGTGGAGAGATAAAAGAATAGTCACCATGCTAAGCAGTTACAACACATCGGGTACGACAATTACAGAAAGAAGGAAGAAACAAGCTGGGACCGTCAACATTGTCAAACCAAATGTTGTTATAAATTATAATACGAACATGGGAGGTGTGGATAAGGCTGACCAATTAGCATCTTCGTACTGTTTCATGAGAAAATCGTGCAAGTGGTGGCGAAAACTTTTTTTCTGGGGACTGGAGATTTGTGCAATCAATAGTTATATTTTATATAAGGTGTCAGCTAGAAGGGAGAGCAGAAAACCTATGCCACATTTTATGTTCGTCCGAAAATTGGTGGCACAATTGGTAGGCAATTTTCGTGGCGGAGCAGATTCAAAACCAGGAAGACCATCAACCTCCGATAAGGATGAAAGACTGAATGGAAAACTACATATACTGCGGCATTGCGAAAATGTGAAAAGTAAAGATTGTACTGTCTGTTCAAACAGAAAGATTAAGGGTGGAAGGCACCAAACCAATTATTTTTGTGACACATGCACTCGAAAACCTGGCCTACATGTTGGAGAGTGTTTCGAAAAGTATCACACGAAGGAAAATTATAAAACATAACTTTTATACAAAAACATCACTAGATGAGTATATTGAATAAAGATATATCTAAAGTTCACAAAACAATTACTAAATCTTGTCTATACATCCTAAACTTGCGTGTTATGTATCCCTGTTCTATCGACGGAAATTAATTCCGAGTAGTACGATACCCATCTCCAAACTTAATCCGAGCGCAAAGGGTTAAAAAGCTGAAGGTGACCCTAATATCTCAATAAAAAATCAGGGTAATAAAAAACAGATTAGAGCACTGTATATCCCCCTAGATACCATGCAACTTTTGTTTGAAACATTTTTTCGTACAACGAATACCTTACGAGTTATTTGAGGTCGTCATGTTAGGAGACTCACCCTGTATAAACTCACGTGGCGACTGTAGCGCAGAGCGGACGTGTATGTGGCCGTTTCGGGTTTTAAAAATGACATTCCGCTATAATCGGCTACCTTCGGCTCTGCAGGAAGTGTCATCACTCATCACCTCATCAGTGGTCATTTAATACGGTTCAGTTACGACGTGTTTGCATCGATCCCAACGAAAGTTACCAGTAGTGACAGTAGGCATCACTTCATGTAAGGTTCTGCTTTTTTACCATGCTCTTTTATTTTATTGATAATAAATTTTATTTATTTTAGTTTTATTTTTTACACCGGTAGATAGAAGATTTGATAAAAATTAATCTCTCATTTTTGATCTTCTAGTAAAAATTTTTAATCGTCGAATAGTGCACATTTTATTTCAAAGTATTCTCTAATCAGCGATGATGTTCAAAATTCATCAACTTTTACAATTATAAACATTCGAAGCACTCCGATCACCGATGACCACCGTGGCGGTACAGGAGAGACAATCTGCGGTCACATATGACCACCGTGGCAGTGAACGTGTTAAATAAAACATTCTGAGCTAGCACGGATCCACGTTTTTCTTGCAGTACGTCATAGTTAAATCGCACAATTATTTTCAACCCTACACGTACTTCTCCCATTTTTCTATTTTCAAATTCGACACAAGTGATTACCGACTGAAAATGTCTGGAGTTATTGATATCCCTGAAAAAAGGGGGTCACAGAGGCACGTGTATATTTCTGTCGAATCGGTGTGCGAAGTTTTATGAGGCTGTACGTGAGAAAAGCGTCTGCGCGCGTGCAGATTCAACGACAAGCGAACGTGTCTGGCCTCGCGTCAGCAAGCTTTACTGAGAGAAAATTTATTTTCCGGTTACAGCCACAACTTATCCGGGCGCTTTTACCTTTCCACAACCCTCCATTCAATTTCTGATCGTCTGCGGGATGGCTATGCGATCCCGTGTTCTCGTGTGGATTAAACTGACTATGTTCCCCGATCCGTAGCCCACTTCGAAAAATTTTCGTTGACCTCTTCTTTTCATGCTTCATCCTCTCGATTTATCACTTGAAACAGTAAAATTCTAGTATTTGAGGTAAACTTTTTGTGATCTACAGTTACTCCCATAAATATTTGCACACTAACAAAACAACCATTAGGCACAACGCAGACAAAAATATTCGTAATATTTCAAATATTTTTCTTTAATATTTCAAATATTTTTCTTTAATATTTCAAATATTTTTCTTTAATATTTCAAATATTTTTCTTTAATATTTCAAATATTTTATGAATATCTTTCCCTGCGTTGTGTTTAATGGTTGTTTTGTCAGTGCCCAAATATTTTCGGGAGTATATATTTTGAAATATTACGAATATGGACACTATGAATATTCAAAATATTCAGTTTCACCAAGTGTCTAAATATTTGTGTAACATAGTAATTGGACATAATTTCGATTACAATGCCATACACGGAAGTGGATTAAACTATCAATACGTAATCCTAAAATACAATAAATAACGCTTCGTAACGAAAAAGCATCAACCTAATTTTTTTATATTTAACCGAAATATCACTATGTGCATACATAGAAAGGTAAACTCATAGAGTCGGAATATTTTTGGGAGTATTATTGAGAATAAATAATTTTTACGTTTATACAGCATTGCTAATGATTTTTGAACGATGTTAAGAGGATCCAGTGATTTTTATGTTTAATGGTACTTTGTAAGGACTTTTTACATTGTATGTACCTTCTAAATGTATTCTCCGTAATATAAAGTGGGTTGTGAGTACTATTTGTCGCAAAGCAATCTTGAAAATAAATTTCAGATACACTTCGTTTCATATTTTTATAAGAATAAAATAGTGGAGGAAATGTTCGTGTAGACGAAGATTAGCTAAAATAATCATCAAACCACTGTTACCATACTAGAACTGATATGAAAATTAGATTTTTCCATTATGCGGAAAAAAGAACTTTTACAATTTAAATCTGTTTCTTTTCTATTGATATGTAGCATTCTTGTCATTTACAAATTCTTGCATATATAAATCTTTATTTTCGGCTCCACAGCCAAGAAATGTGGACTTGGTTTACATTTGCTTCTCTTATTTCATTCATTCTTCCCGCTCATTCCGTTCACTCATTCATTCGTTCTTTTTTCTTTTAACTAATTTAACTAATTTAATGTCTTTCAAATTAATATTCTTCAATTTTTCGTAGCAGTAAGGATTATTTAGCCCTCGAGGCGTATACCTGCCGCCTAACCCTCGAGATATACCAAATAAGTACATTTTTATTAGAAGGCCGTTAGCCGTTTCGTAGCGACAGTAACTTTATGATACCACGGCAATCGTAGTTCTTTTTGCCTTGCCTTTTATAAACTTGTTTTTTCGAGATAGAAGCTTCGTCCCTTTGTTCGGTAAATTTTCATACATATGGTCACCAGAGCCGAAGCGTTTCTTAAGGCTATTGTCTGCTACAATCATTGTTAGAGACATTCGGAATTTCCCCGTGCGTCACTCAAGGGTATGATCGGTACCTGAGAGTGACGAATGGTCTGGGGGGTGGCATTTTTGCTTAGTTTCTCCCCTTTAATTTTAACCAATAGGTAGTGTCAGCCACCCTTCCCCACCACTATCGAAACATGA